ACGTCACGACTTTGCACGCGATAAGAGAATATAGCCAGTTAACCTGATACAGTACACGCGGTTACAAGTAACAAATCACAACTAAATACATTTGCAAGCTAGAGTAAACGAGGCAACTTTAACCGCACGTACTTACACTTGAGAAATGGAGGAAGAAAAATCCATCCTGACGTCCATCAGTAAGTTACTCTTTACTGATCTTTCCTTTAACAAACGCAGATGAAGTATTCTTTGTAGCATGTAGTTTCCAGTAGTTTCCAACTGCTTGGCTATAATGCTGAGGTTTCATTGGGTAGAGACTCAATATATCCATCTGCAGTGTGACTTCAATCGACCGGCATGTTTGTGTGTGTGTTTGTGGGTGTGTGTGTGTCTGGGTTTCTGCGTCAGAGGGCGGGGCCTCAGGTTTGAAATCTCCCGGGTTTGCGCGTGCACGTGAATAACTTGGTTTCGTTCGTACGTCATGGCGAAACACCTAATGACTCGGTATCAAGGCGACTCGTTTGAAGCACTATGAGTCGACTCTTTTATAGATGAATCAACAGTTTTAAACACTATACACTAACAGATTTAAGCCTTAGCTGGATACTTCACTTCACTTTGAGCTGTGTTACACACTACATGGAGGGGAATTTTCAACAACCCATAATATGGGCTCTTTAAAAGATTCATTCTCCAGCCTCCGGCGCATAGACTGCAGCTCTGCACAAGACGTTTGGCCTTAGGAGAAATAGTCGGGCCCTACTGAGCCTGGTTTCTCTTGAGGTTTTATAATTATTCACTTTCGCCAATTGGTGAACTTTTTTCCTCGCTGCTGTCGCCACTGGCTTGCATGGTTCGGGATCTGTAGAGCTGAGCATCGATGGATTTGCTCTTCAGTGTTTGAACTCTCAGTAGTGATTATTAAACCAAACTGAACTGAACTTAACTGAACTGAACTTAAACACTGAAAACTAAACAGGCACTGTTTCAATTCACTATGATCTTCTATGTTAAGCTGCTTTGACACAATTTACATTGTAAAAGCACTATGCAAATAAAGGTGAACTGAACTGAATTCATTCATTTTCTTTTTGGCATAGTCCCTTTATTAATCAGGGGTCGCCACAGCAGAATGAACCGCCAACCTTTCCAGCATATGTTCTAGGCAGCGGATGCCCTTCCAGCTGCAACCCATCTCTGGGAAACATCCATACACACTTATACACACTCATACACTATGGACAATTTAGCTTACCCAATTCACCTGTACCACATGGCTGCGTCCGTAACCGCCTACAACTCAGTAGGTACTGCATTTGAATTTAAACTTACTGCTCGGCCTTTAGAAAAGTGCGTTCTATACAGTATGAATGTGAAAAGTATGAAGGGAACTCGGACGTACTACATCCGCCATTTTATCATGGTCACGTGACCTACCTGCATCAGTTGCGTCCCTTCACTTCCATTCATGAATTCTCTCGCGGGGCATTATGGGATAGGGCAGCGTGCATGGGATGCACACTCCAGAATCTCGCTGGAATTTGTAAGTCATCCGGGTACTTCTCGCATACTGATTTTCAAATTCTAAGAATTTAGACATACTACTTGGCTCGCATACTGATTTAAGCGCACTATATAGCATGAAAGTATGCGGACGCAGCCCATGCCTTTGGGGAAAACCGGAGCATCCAGAGGAAACTCATGTGAACGATTAAAAGACTGATTACAAATAAAAGCCTCAATTATTAGAATTAGTATCCATTTATTCAGACAAACAATAACATTTAAAGGGTTTGCTTTGGTAAAATACTGTCTAAAAACACTTACAAAATCAATTTTAAAAGTTTTAAATATGGATTTCATTCATTCATTCATTTTCCCTTGGCTTAGTGGTTGACCACTGTGGTGATGACCACTGATAAATAAGAGACTAAGCCTAAGGAATATGAATAAATGAATGTAAATAATTTTCAATGCTTTTCAATGAACAACTTTCAGAAGTTTCATTGTTATGATCTTTTTTCTTTTTTTTCCATAATTTTATTTCGCTTGTTTTGTTTTACTACACTGAAAAAAATAGCTTCATTGGATTAAAAAAAAAATTAAGGTAAGTGGTTGTAAACAGTTTAAACAAAAAAATTATAGGAAAATCTACTTTTCAAGCTGTTTGAACAGACATGTGTGTAGGTATAGTGTATAGGCGGTCATATTGGGGTGATATAAACACACACACTCCTTTTTTTCCAATTTAACAACATAAAAACGGTAGACCAATTGGAGCGGTATTCAGACCTTGAAGTTCAACTTGACGTAGAAGCGTGGTCCCCCCACCCACCAATATTGATTGACAGCTGCGTATTATCATGTCCCGGTAGTCACGTGTATAATCATGTCAACAAGAGAAGAGGAGCGCAAAGCAACCGGGAATAAAAGGTCTGTTCAGTTCGCCAGGATCATCAATCATCATCAAATGTGATTAAGAGTGAGTTTTACAAGTTTAAAATGTTTTAAAACAGCGCACGTGTGTAATGAAGTACAGCCATTTACTTTAGATTTGCTTCATCAACACAGCCGCGTGTCAGAACAATTATAAAAGACGCTTCAATCCCGGTTTGTGGACGTTAAATCAGGTTTATTTTGTACATTAACATATCCACAAAGCAGATGAGATTAACCTGTATCCTGTCACATTTGCGTGCAAAAAGAGTGCAAAGCTAATCACGCGCTGTTTGTGTGTATGTGCGTGTCGTGTCTGCGCTGTGTATGTATGTGTGTGTATCTGTGAACTTTGTAACAATATTGTGTGTGACTCATCGTTGTAACTTAACACAACAAATGCAACAAATAATCATTGGGAAAGTTCTTACTGTAGTATTTCTCACAAACGCTACGTGAGATCTGCTTCCTCTAAAGGCTGATTTATACTACGTATGCTACGGCGCTGACGCATAGCCCTTCGACGTGGCCGGCGGCGTCGCTGACGTGCACCTCTCAAAAAATGTAACTACACGTCGCAACGACGCGTAGCGCAAGCTCTGTGATTGGTCGGCTTGGTAACGCTGACGAGTCTGGGCGGGACAGAGAGCCGCGTGAATGGTGCGAGCCTGATGGAGCGTGGAGTGTGGAGTCCCATGAAGGAGCTCCGGATGGAAAGTTTTGTTTTGTGTTTACCTCATAGTTAAAGTTGTTGCACGTCCGCCGGTTCCTGCCTCAAAATGAGCGAGTTTGAGCCACTTGTAAATCCCGGAAGTGTTCAGGAAACGCAAAACTGCAGCAAAGAAACTCGACACAGAGGAACATTTACACCTCACTGCCAACTAGAGTTTCGGAAGTGTTAATGCAGACCAACAGAGACAGCGTGCAGAAGTATAAATGCACAGCCACGCGCGTGCATTTACTTGACGCAGAAGTATAAATCAGGCTTTAGTCTGTCTGTTGTCTGACGCAGCTAAGGGAGGAGATTCAGGCACGCAGAAAGGCACGTAGAAATGGTGGGCGGGGAGGACTAGCCTTAGAGGCGCAGTAAAACAAAACCGCCAACCAGTGCAAAAATGTATAAAACAGAATCTTAAAAAAGGTATAATAAAATATCTGATGGGTGTTTTGAGCTGAAACTTTACAGACACATTCTTGAGACACAAAAGATTCATAATAAATCTGAAAAAAGGGGTAACCTAGGTGCCTTTTAAATTTAGCAATGCTGAACTCAATCTATTTGTTTAAATTCAGCTTTTATAAAATATTTGCAACAATTTACAATGAACCAATTGTTTTTCAGTGTGGTTTTAGCTTTAGTGAACTACTGTTTTTAGGGGGCTGGTCTTAGTTTTTCTTGAAGCTGTTAAAGTGTTTAATTTTATTGTTATATTTCACGTATGTTTTGTGGTGTTTTGTTGTTTTTTGTTTTGCGTTCTCTTCTCTCTCTCTTTTGTTGTGGATCCTGTCCTGTTTCAGGTGTGCAACCATTGGTCGAGTGAGCTGTTAATCACCATCGTCACTTAATCGGCGCGCCAATAAGGATTGGGTCCGCACAGTATAAAAGCCATACGCTTGCGCTGTTCTAGAGGAGCGCTTGGCTTACTGCCAGTCTCCTCACTTGTGTCGGGCGGCCTGTTCACTTGTTCGCTTCGCTTAGTTTTATTGCAATTGCTGTGTTCTAGTTTTCTCTTTATTGAGAGATTGATTTATTAGATAAACTTGTGCAGATCAGTTTATTGTCTAGTGAGAATTTGAACGATCTTTATGAGAATTGGATTATATAAGATCTCGTTTTGCTAACAGCTAACAGTGTGTACTTTACGAGAATTCTAGTAATGTGAGCAGCTTAGAATATCTATGTGTTAGTTAGTTAGTTAAAGGAGGCGTTGCCACGTATGTAATTATGTTTGGAAGTCATGAAGTTTAGTTAAGCTACGTGCTGAACATTACGTTTTTGTGTCTGTTTTTTTCTTTGGTTAGTCAGTTTAGTGGGTTGGGGTTTAGTTAGTTCATTTTGTTATGTTTATTTCTTTGTTTTGGCAACACTCCTCGTTTCTTTATTTAATTCAATTATTTAAAGTTACATTTACATTACGTTTCCTATTCATTGTTTGACATTCTCTGTTTAATAAATACTTACTTTTTGTTTCACTTAACAAGCGGTTGTGTTTTCTCCTTATTCATCTGGCATCAGTAGACTCACTGATTGTTACGTTTTATCCATTTAATTATTTAACAACTTAAAAACGTAACATTTATACTAAACATTTTTTTTTTGTGAGCAAAAACTGTCATGTTTTTTTCTTTTAATGTTTTAGTAAAGTTGTTGTTTAAACAAAACAAAACAAAAAAAAATTTCTAAAGGCTTATATAGTGCTTAATATAGAGCTTTGATGTGTGTTTTACAGTGACCTCCAGTCGAGCACGGAGACGCCAACAACTCCAGATGCCCAGATGACATCACACACCTGCTCAAAACCAATAAACACGTGCATTTAAGGAAGAAGTAAAAACACATCATGCATTGTTGTGCCACTTACACAAGGACTGGTCTGCTTGCGGGAACTTGGACACTGAGTTTTGAAGGTTGGTGAGCTTGGATTTCATAATCCGCAGTCCTTCTGTGAATCGTATCTCCTGTCCTTTCAGAAACTTCTCCATCTGACGCAGTATTCCCATCACTCTCTGCTTATCCATACAACCCTAAGGCATAAAGGCGCAAGAGTTAAGCAAGTATCCCGAGCACATGGTTTCAATTTGATGGCAAGCAGTTATCCTGAAATTACAGATTTGCTCATATGGAGGAGGTATTGGGCATCGAATACGATCGCTCGGAGCATTCCCGTTAAATTATAGAGGGGTGCTTACTACACATTTTTTACACTCAAATTCAAGGCTTCTTAAGACCAGATAATAATATTAATAATAATAATAATAATAAAAATTTTAAAATGCAATTAATAATAATAATAATAATAAAATAATAGTGATAATAGGCGAGGCAGTGGCGCAGTAGGTAGTGCTGTCGCCTCACAGCAAGAAGGTCGCTGGGTCTCTGGTTCGAACCTTGGCTCAGTTGGTGTTTCTGTGTGGAGTTTGCATGTTCTCCCTGCCTTCGAGTGGGTTTCCTCTGGGTGCTCCGGTTTCCCTCACAGTCCAAAGACATACGGTACAGGTGAATTGGGTAGGCTAAATTGTCCGTAGTGTATTAGTGTGTGTGTGAATGTGTGTGTGGATGTTTCCCAGAGATGGGTTGCGGCTGGAAGGGCATCCGCTGTGTAAAAACTTGCTGGATAAGTTGGCGGTTCATTCCGCTGTGGCGACCCCGGATTAATTAAGGGACTAAGCCGACAAGAGAATTAATGAATTAATGAATAATATAATATAATATAATATAATATAATATAGGTGACATGGTGGCTTGGTGGTTAGCATTGTCGCCTCACAGCAAGAAGGTCGCTGGTTCAAATCCTGGCTGGGTCAGTTGGCATTTCTGTTGAATTTGCATGTTCTTTCGGTGAGATGTGGGTTTCCTCCGGGTGCTCTAGTTTCCCCCCACAGTCCAAATACATGCACTATAGGTGAATTAAATAAACTAAATTAGTCGTAGTGTATGTGTGTGTGTGAATGAGTGTATATGGGTGTTTCCCAGTACTGGGTTGCAGCTGGAAGGGCATCCACTGTGTAAAACATATGTTGGAATAGTTGGCGGTTCATTCCCAGAAGAAAAAATATTATAGGAAATACTGTGAACAATTCCTTGCTCTGTTATGTGAGAAAAAATTCTCGTGAGGGTGAATAATTTTGACTTAAACTGTATATCATCATGTCTTTACATATCATAAGAATGATGACTTTAAAATGATGACTTTAAGTTAAAAATAATAATATTTGGTAACACTTTAGAATAACTATTCGTTATAACTAGTTAATAGACCATTAATAAACTGTTAGTTAACAAGTTATAAATGACTTGTTAAATAAAAGTTAATAGTTTGTTAATTATTAAAAACTGTGCCTTATAGATGGCTAATAGATAACTTACAAGCCGTTAGTTAACAAGTTGTAAATGACTTCTTTACTGTATTTTAATGATTTATAACTATACCTAATCAATTAGTAATAGATCATGAACAAGCTGTTAGTAAATAACTTAATAAAGGCTTGTTAAGTATCAGTTAATAGTGTATATATGTTATTGGGACGTTATTCTAAAGTTGCAGCTATTCTTCATTTATTAACTGTTAGTAAATGAGGAATAGTTGAAACTTTAGAATAACATCCCAATAACATGCTCAAGCTAATAACTAACACTTAACTATTATATTTGCTCACACTTTACAGATCAGTTGTTCACCATTTAATAACACCAGTGAAACTTTTTTAATAGACCACTGGTGTAATTTTACATTTTTATTTATTTTGTTTTCATGTTGCATATCATGGGTTTGTATTCTTGCATACTGTTGTACTGCCATGTGATGGCTCAGTATGTGTGTTTCTATACATTAAACACAACGTTTAACATTTAATCTGTGGAGTTTCTTTGGTAAAACACAGCACACAGAAAAGCCGATAAGTCGAACAAGGTTTAGAAACAAACATTTTATATTTTAAATATTACATCAAACTTCTGTAGCTTGAACTTATTTCATCCATTTGCAGTTCTACAAAGATTCTCTGATATTAGTAGATGGTTAACAAACGATAAACAACTCTCGTCTGTAAAGTGTGAGCAAATATAATAGTTAAGTGTTAGTTATTAGCTTAAGCATGTTATTGGGAGGTTATTCTAAAGTTGCAACTATTCCTCATTTACTAAAAGTTAATAAATGAAAAATAGCTGCAACTTTAGAATAACATCCCAATAACATAAACACACCATAACTGATACTTAACAAGTCTTTATTAAGTCATTTACTAACAGCTTGTTCATGATATTTTAATAATTTATGAGGTATAGTTATAAATCATTAAAATACAGTTAAGAAGTCATTTACAACTTGTTAACTAACGGCTTGTAAGTTATCCATTGCTCTTCTATAAGGCACAGTTGTAAATAATTAACAAACTATTAACTTTTATTTAACAAGTCATTTAAAATTTGTTAACTAACAGTTTATTTATGGTCTATTAACTAGTTATAACGGATAGTTATTGTAAAGTGTTACCTAATATTTCACTACTTTTTAAGACTTTTCAAAGACCCAAGCTTCAAGCTTTGCATGAAAATGAAAAATGGCACACATGAATGATCAAGGCCAGATGTTGTGGGTGATGTCATGCATTGTGGCATTGGGACTCCTGTGGGGCATGACATCAAAGATCCGGCCAGTGTTTAGCAGCTTCTCGGCCTGCCAGCGCACGACCAAAAGTTCCCTTAGAAACATAAATATTACTCCAGCAACTATTTATCAGAAGTCGTGTTGTCCCAGATGCATTTGGACCATGCATTGGGTCAGCGGGCAACCTCTGCGCAACCACATTCAAGAGTCAAATCCTCACTTTCTCTTTTCTTTCTTGAGTGCAGTAATACGGAAAGCTGTTAGGCAGATGTCTCTAGGACCTCTGTCCAAAAGGCTGGTCTCTGTATGTTATTCGTGGCTGTTAAATACAGGAGAGTGAAAATGCATCAGCCTTAAATCTCACTGTGCATCTGCCATGGTAAATAAAGACGCTGCTAATCTGGATCCAATGCAAAAATGCTTCTGACATGGTTAATGATGTCACATTGAAGGTCTCGTTATACGCTGGCTCCAGAAACTTGCTTTAAACATCTCAAAGGGATAGTTCACCACATAAATTAAATATTCTGTCTTGCTTTATTCATCCTCTACTTGTTTCAAACCTGTTTGAGTTCCTTAAACACAAAGAAAGATATGATGAAGATTGCTATGAAAAGGATGAAAACTGCCATTAACTTTTATTTGAATTCATTCATTTTCTTGTCGGCTTAGTCTCTTTATTATTCCGGGGTCGCCACAGCGGAATGAACCGCCAACTTATCCAGCACGTTTTTACAAAGCAAATGAACTTCCAGCCGCAATCCATCTCTGGGAAACAACCACACACACTAATTCACATACACAACAGACAATTTAGCCTACCCAATTCACCTGTTCTGCATGTCTTTGGACTGTGGGGGAAACCCGAGCACCCGGAGGAAACCCACGTAAACACAGGAAGAACATGCAAACTCCACACAAAAACACCAACTGACCCAGCCGATGCTCAAACCAGCAACCTTCTTGCTGTAAGGCGACAGCACTACCTACTGCGCCACTGCGTTTCCCTTTTATTTGATGTCAAATAGCTGCTTTTTTTTTTGCAACAATCTTCATAATATCTTGTTTTGTGTTCAACAGAAGAAAGACATCCATAAATGATTATAACCACTTGAGTGTGAATAAATTATGAAGAAATTTAAATTTTGGGGCGAACTATCACTTTAATGTCATTGCATTATATTAGACAGAAAACAATGTTTAAGCTCTTAATGCAAAAAAAAAGGTCGCATGCAAAAAGAGGGCTTTTTCAATGATGATACACAGTATAAGAATTCTTGCTATTTTTTTGTTGAATCAAAATAACTTTTTTAGTCATCTCAACTTACAACAAACTGGCTATAAATATTAAACTACACTTTGTAGAACTAAAAAATTTAGTTTTCAACATGTTTATTTATTCATTTTCTTTTCAGCTTAGTCCTTTTATTAATCCGGGGTCGCCACAGCGGAATGAACCGCCAACTTATTCAGCACCTGTTTTACGCAGCGGATGCCCCTCCAGCCATCTCTGGGAAACATCCATACACACTCATATGCTACAGACAATTTAGCATACCCAATTCACCTGTACCACATGTCTTTGGACTGTGGGGGAAACCGGGGCACCCGGAGGAAACCCACGCGAAGGCAGGGAGAACATGCAAACTCTACACAGAAACGCCAACCGACACAGCTCAAACCAGCGTGCTTCTTGCTGTAAGGTGACAGCACTACCTACTGCGCCAATGTGTCACCCTTTAACCTGTTTAACTAGTTCAAATTTGTTAAAAATTAACAAATTATGATGCAAAAATGTAGAATTGTATTGTTTGCTTTAGAGAGGAAGAAAATGTTCACTTATTTAGTTTTCTGCTAAAAGATTGGAACAGTTGATGTGTTGTGATTGTTTTTAATTCTGTGACTCTGACTAATATGCACCAATAAAACAGAGTTAAACTAAAAGTAACAAATTAGTTGTCATGAATATTTTTATCATATCATTTTTACAATTTACAAAAGAGCAGTTCTGGAAAAAACATGTTTCAATAGTGTGAGAAGCACTTTTATCATCTAAAAATAAAGGTTTTGCTGAAGAAAATTTCTCAATGTATGGATGTAAATCTATATGGATCCATCCATGACAATAAAGAACCTTTATTTTTCTATAAAAATAGTTTAAAAAAATAAAAAACAAAAAACAAGTAAAACAAGCAAAAGGAGTTTATTAATGATATTTATAATGATTAAATCTGACAGTTTGTTGTTATTTTACTGACACCTGCAAGAACTTGAGAAAAAAATAGCATAAATCCACCTCAAAACAGCAGCTGATTAATACACATTGCAAAAAAGTTTGACTTTCAGAATGTGACTAGCTGTTTAAGTGTGGATCGCTGTACAAACTTAGTTAATTAACGCAAAATATCATACAATATATTAAAGTTAATTTAAGTATTGTAGGGAAAGTTTGTCAACCCCTAGATACATACTAATATAGGCTAATATTATGATCATAAAAATACGTGTTTACTCACCTGCGGTGCATCATTACAGTCGTACAGTGATAGGAAGCTTAGCAGAAGAATAAATGTGACTGATAAATTCATCCTGTGTATCGGAGTCCGAGTAAAATCGCAGTTTTTAATCCTCAATCGTGTTTTACTGCTCCAGACTGCACAGTTTAACAGCCGATGAAGCGTGCCTGAGAGGAATTATTAGATAAACTCTTGCAGAAGTCCGTGAAGATGCTCCTGTTCTCGTCATGAAGACACCGAGCGCCTGTGCAGTCGTGATGTCCGATTCGCGATTTGTTCATTTAAAATGATTCTTTCAGATGATTGAACCGAATCGCTAAGCGTGGATTCCTTTTTGAGCGCATCGTTGACGGTACACAGAATCACAATTCTTGCTGCCTATTTTATTTTTGGTTGAATAAAATTAACTCTTTTAGTAATATGAGCTTACTGTTCATCAGCCAAACTGGCTATAAACCTTAATTTAAATTTTGTAGAACAAAAAAAGGGGTGGAAACCTGTTTAACTGATGAAAATGAGTTAAAACGAAACAAAAGATGTGATATCCGATTTCAGAATTGTTCTTTTGAAACGATTCCTTTAGATGATTCATTTGAACTGAATCGCTATGCATAAATACCTCTGTGAGTTCATCCCAAGTGTGCCGCAAGCCTACGTTCGAGTGAAGGTTTCGGCCGTTAGATCGCCCCCTGGGGGCTGGCTGCAGTACAAGTCATAAAGCCCGCCTCCTCCGTGTTAATGAAGGAGACTTGAGCCCAAATAAAAAAAAATATTACACTTGCAATAAAATGTCCCGAAAGATAGTTCTGGTCGATTAAGGCACTGGTTATTGTGCTGAAATAGGTGCAGATCTTCATTTTTGTAAACAGTTTGTTTTTAGCAGTAATTTAATGCTGGGCGTGTCATCGTGATTGACAGCTGTGATTGAAAGTTTCTCAAAGCGCGGCGTCTGAGCTTCGGCAGGAGACTGAAGTAGACTGAAATGTTATTATTCGATTTCTGTGTTATTTTACCATGACAAAATGAGTTCAGCAGTAAACTATAGTTTCTGACATAAATGATCCTGGTGGAACACTATTTATTCGCTAAGTTCAGGGCTTTTTTCGGGCTTTATTAGTTTGCTGATACACGCCTAGCCACCCAGATAGCAAAACACAGTTCCGGCTAGATTCTCGCCTGCCGGAGACTTATCTCTTAGAGCTCAGACTGACTAATGTTACCTCTGCTGGACCTACTCCAGATGCCTGGACCCACTGCCCGATTCCAGTCCGAGTCAATCGAGCCAGATGCGGCGGCCGAGCGAGCAGGCGCTGCCGCATGCGAGCCGGAATCAGCCCGCGACGCCGCGAGTAAGTTATGCGCTGCGGCCTGGAGCTGGCGCGATTGAATATATAAAACCCTCATATTTGTTAACGTTATTACATCCATTTGTGTTGATATGACAGCAAACGCATGCTGAGAAGTTCGGGGGGAGTAGTTGATTTTACATAAAGCGTTTGATTGGAAGCTCGACTCTGCTCATTTTCGCGGCTCCTCCTCTGGCTCCATCAGACAGTCCTTCTGCGCATGTCTGGCTCCAATTTCAGCAGTCTTTTGCGACAGTTTGTGCCCGTCAAGCAGGCGTTTTGCCCTCAAGGCGTTCAATGGGAAAAAGGGCTGTCGCGTCGTCCATATTTTTTACAGTCATTGGTTCATCCATTCATCAAAATATCTCAGATTTATCCATAAAAGTGCAGGTCTAAACATGTTTAATATTGACATAAAATATAAGACCACACATTTACGTTTTATTGATGCAATTTGTCTTTAAAAAACAACTTTTAAAAAATTGAAGTTGATTTTATTGAAGGCAAAAAGGGTATAAAAGGGCAGCAGGTCCGATTTATGTTTTGGTTCTGCTGCCATCAGGTGTTCAGTGTTGGTCTTGCACACTAAAAATGTCATATTGTATGGCATATCTAATAAAAGGCGACACGGTAGCCCAATGTTATTAGCACTGTCGCCTGACTGCAACAAGTTCGCTGCTTGATCGGGGTTAGTTGGCATTTCTGTGTGGAGTTTGCATGTACTCACCGTGTTGGCGTGGGTTTCCTTAAGGTGCTGTTTCCCCCACAGTCCATACACATGCGCTAGGTAAATTAATTAAATAAATTGGCTGTGTGTAAATGAGTGTGTATGGATGTTTCCCAATACTGGGTTGCAGCTGGAAGGGCATCACTGCATAAAACATATGCTGGATAAGTTGGCAGTTCATTCCACTGTGGCAACCCCTGATAAATAAAGGGACTAAGCCAAAGAAAAATTAATGAATGAATGAATGAATATCTAATAATAAATATGTTGCTGCCTAAAAACTTTAAGATGAAACAAATGAATTTTAAAAGTTATTTCGACTTACATCAATGAAACAGACTTAAAACATCAAGCTAACATTTGTATAGCTTAAAAAAAAGTTGAACCCTGATTAAAATGAAGTAACAGAAATCGATAATATATATATATATATTTTTTTTTACAGTGCGAAATATAGCATGAGATAAAAACTAAAGATAATTTTGTCCCACTTTATATTAAGTGGTCTTAGTAGTACAATGTAAATATACAATGTTCTTCCTTATAAAGTACAACACTTTGTGTTCACATTGTATTGCACAACACATCTGGTGTTAATGAGGAGGGTAAATTCACATGGTAGTATGTGTAGGTTTAAGGGGGGTTTAAGGTGTAAGGGATGGCTCAGTAGTGTAATTAAATGAATAAATGTAATTAAAGAAATTAATTACAAATGTAATAACATGTCATGTTTTAAATAATTGTGCAAAGTAAAAACATGTACAGTTGAAGTCAGAATTATTAGCCCTCCTAAATTATTAGCCCCTGTGTGTTTTTCCCTAATTTCTGTTGAACTGAGTGATGATTGTTTTAACACATTTCTAAACATAATAGTTTAAATAACTCATTTCTAATAACTGATTTATTTTATCTTTGTCATGATGACAGTAAATAATATTTTACTTTATATTTTTCAAGACACTTCTATACAGCTTAAAGTGACATTTAAAGGCTTGACAAGGTTAATTAGGCAAGATAGGGTAATTATGTAAGTCAGTGTATAACAGTGGTTTTTGTAGACAATTGAAAAAAATATTGCTTAAGGGGGCTGATAATGTTGACCTTAAAATGGCTTATAAAAATATCAAAAACTGCTTTTATTCCAGCCGAAATAAAACAAATAAGACTTTCTCCAAAAGAAAAAATATTATACAGAATACTGTGAAAAATTCGTTGCTCTGTTAAACATAATTCAGGAAATATTTAATAAAATAAATTTAGAGTAGAGCTAATCATTTTTACTTCAGCTGCATATAATAAGTGCATTGTGCATTAAATCAAATGTAAATAATTAAGGCCACTTAATATGAAGCTAAAACGGAATTTTACACACACATACAAACAAACATTTTACTTTAAATGATAAAATAAATACAATAAATAAAATATTAAAAGAAAAGGTTAAAATAAACTATTGAAAGTGTGATATTTATATCATCCTCTGAATACCCAGAGAGTTATACAGTATAAATATAGTTCAGTTTATCGAAGCATCTTTAAACTCAACTCCACTCACTTTATTTCTATAGCACTTTCACAAATCACAATGATTACCAAAGTGCTGTACATAAAACACATAAAACGCATGTAAAATATACATAAAACCAAAAAACTCACATCACATGATTAAAAGCTAAAGAAAATAGGTGTGTTTTCAGTGACCTCTGAAAAGACTCAAAAGTTTGAGCTGTTCTTACAGAGAGTGGGAGATCGTTCCAGAGTCTTGGAGCTGCTACCGAGAAAGCTCTATCACCTCGACATTTTAAGCGTGATCTAGGAACTTGCTAATAGAGACGATCCATAGAGCGAAGAGTTCTCACAGGTTGGTGCATAATAATTAGCTCAGAAATATACTCAGGGTGCCAGGCCATGGAGGGATTTATAAACACACAACAGAACTCTGTACTGAATTCTAAACTGGATTGGCAGCCTGTGTAGGGAAACAAGTACAGGTGTGATGTGTTCTCGTTTTTTTGTGCCTGTTAAAAGCCTGGCAGCTGCGTTCTGGACTAGCTGCAGTCGCAAAAGAGAGGCCTGACTCACACCCACCCAGATACAATGCGTTGCAATAGTCCAGACGAGAAGAAATAAAAGCATGAACAACTTTCTCCAAGTCACTGAAAGAGAGGACAGACGTTAGCTTGGCAATATATCTAAAATAGAAAAAACTATTTTTGACAACCGCATTCATTTGCCGATCAAAGATGACACCAAGACTCTACTGAGGAATGTATTTTCCCAGGAAGCAATGACAGATTGCCATTAGAATCTGAACCTTTTTGGCCAAAAACAATGAATTCGCACTTGTCTTCTTTCAGTTGGAGAAAGTTATTTGCCAACCAACACTTCACATCAGCCAAACCATTAAGCAAAGCCTGAAGGGAGGATTGATCCCTACACTCTAAAAAATATTGTTTAGACAAAACAAATTAACGCAACAGTTTGCATTAATATATTCAAGTTACGACAACATCTGACAAAATGAGGTTCAGACAACAAACTTTATTATGTTAGCCAAATCTTTTCCTCTTCAATCAGAGGCATTTTTACTTAGCATAAACTCCATTTTTTTAAGTTGAGAACTCAAAAAAATAAGTTGTTTCAAATATTTTTTTAAAATTAAAATTGAAAACTAATCCAGTGTTATGTGCGTAATTGCATGTTTTTAAGTTTAGAACCTCAAATAAATTAAGTAGCTGTAATTGTTTAATTTTTTTTTTTTAGCAAATTTACTGTTCATGCTTGTATGAAATACATTTCACAAAAGCATTTTTGTTTTTCAGTAATATATATATTTTTTTATATAAAACAGGTTTTTATTGTTTTACAAAACAAAAACATGTAGTGTTCCATATTATCAGTATAAAAAACAGCAAAAAACCTCAGTGTGTGAAAAAATACAAAACAACTCTATTAACGTGGAAAAATTGAGTTATCAACTCAATTTCTTTGGGTTGCTACAAGTTAAATATTGTTTACAAGTAATTGACATTTTTGTTTACTTTTAAATTAGCCGAATTTTTAAATTGATGTAATTTTCAATATTTTCCTGTTTTGAAAACTTAATAAAATTATTCTGGCAATTTAAAAGTTTTAATCTAATCAGCCTTTTAGATTTTTTAAGTTACAATAATGTATTAAACTACACTGAAAAAAGTGTTGCATGCAGAACTGTTGCAAACAATTTATTTGTGCTGAATTTAAACAATCAAATTAAACTGAATCATGTTCAACTTAATGTGTTTGTTTAAATTCAACACAATTAAATTGTTTACAACCACTTAACATAATAAAATTGAGTAAATCCAAGGAATCATCTTTGAATAATTTTTTCAGTGTATGTAATAATAATAATAATAATACCTTTTATTTTTAGGCGCCTTTCAAAGCACTCAAGGACACCTTACAGCAGATTACAAGCACATCATAAAAATGCAAGCAGTAAAAAATGACAATCAGCATAATTAAACCAGCAAATCATTAAAAGCTATCTTAAACAAAAACGTCTTTATCTGAGATTTAAAATCGGAAATAGAGTCCATCTGGCGAATGTGCAAAGGCAGGGAATTCCATAACTTTGGTGCTATACAACTAAAAGCCCTGCCTCCAAATGACTTCATCTTAAAGTGTGGGACAGATAACAGTTCAGCAGAAGATGATCTCAGTGAGCGTGAAGGAGTGTACAAATGAAGAAGATCAGAAAGATAGTGAGAGGCCAGGTTATGAAGAGCTTTGTATGTTAAGAGGAGGATTTTGTATTGTATACGATAGTGAACAGGAAGCCAGTGCAGGTGAAAGAGAATTGGAGTTATGTGATCAGAAGTACGCGAGCAGGTAACTATCCTAGCCGCTGAATTCTGAATCAACTGTAGTTTATGAATTTGTTTATCAGGAATACCAGAGAGAAGCGATGTAGTGGTAACAGACCTCTTGAGTTATGTTTTAGTGTAGATTTTATAGGGAAGTAGATTTGAGAGTCATCAGCATATAGATGGTAATTTATGCCATGCTTTTCAAAAATTGTTTCTAACGGAAGTAAGTAAAGGGAGAACAAAACAGGACCCAGTATTGACCCTTTAAAGTTGAGAGCAATGTTTTCTTTTCAAAATCAGGGTAGATGTCCCGATGCCCAACATGACCCCGAGAGCCGTTGTATAAGCCCAGTATGGATGTGATGTCGATGATGAAAACTCAGGCCCTTTGAAAAGAGCAAACAGCTGTGTTACTCTCATTCTATAACACATAATGAGAGTAATATATAATGTTGTTACTCTCATTATGTAACTTTATAAACACAATTTGACAAACAAACTCACTCCACACTGTGATTTTGGGTTCAGACATGCTGCTGTGTCTGACTTCACATGTGTACTCGTCTCCAGTCTGTGGGGTGATCTTCATATACTTGAAGACTCTGAAGGTCCAGTCTTCCCCATACATTAGGTCAGATGTCTCTAGTTTTGCAGTGGATTTTTGGCCATTTAGGAAAAATCTTATATCAATGTCACCAGGGTAAAACCCGGTAGCATAGCAGTAAAGGACATTTGCTTTTCCTTCTTCTTCAGGAAACTCAGCATACATAATGACTGAAGGGCGTACTGTGGAGAAGAGTGTACTTTGGTAAGTGACAGAGATTAACTTAAAAACATAGGCAAATCACTGGTAAGTGCATGTAAGGTTACCAAAAAGTGTCTTTGAGGATTTTGTTTCTTTTTTAAGTTTCTCCAGGTATTCGGTTTGTCGATGAAATCCCTTATTCACCTCTCCGAGGCAGAAAATGCTTTCACGTTTCTCCAGAACTGAAAAGCCAGCACTTGCAGTGGGATTTAAGGCAAATGTGTTGTTCGCTTTGTCAAAGTGTGCAAATATGGCGTCGTTTACTAAAACAACCACTGTCTGATCTATGGAGCCGTTTCCCATCACCCTTGTGTAGGCCAGAATATTTACTGTATGGTAATCTTTAGAAGAAAAAAAGCAAACATCAGTAATAAGTTAACATGAAATTACACTTTCAGGTGCACACGAGTCCTTACATGTGTCAGAAAAGTGAGTATAAGCAGGAATACACTGCTTGACCAATTCATACGTGATTTATCCATTACGTGCTTACCATGGAGTTTGTGTTAACAGCACACAGAGACTGACTTTAATTTGGCTATATTCTAGCTACAAGCTTCAAGCATGGCAAAGTCGCTTGAGTCTATGTGTCCTGCAACATTTGAATCACATCCAGATAAATTAGCCTAAATCTGAGGTAGCGCTGCTTTACAAAACTAATAACTTTATATATTAAAAACACGCATTATTTTACACAACTACAAACAAACTTTTTTAAACACATTTGTGTTAATTATTTTACCAATGATGCAGTAACCAAAATGCCAACACAACAGCACTGGTCTGCAAAAGCACGTCTCTCTGCTCCGCAAGCACCACAGCCACGCGACTCTTTACCTGGCTCTGCGCCAAAGCAGGTTAATACTTAGCATCTGATAACGTGATGAACAAGAGTAAACATTCTAAGCACACCAATGTGATCGTACGCTTCAGGGAACAGCCGGTGCTGATCACATCAGTGTAATCGTTCGTGTCAAAGGGTTAAAAGTGTGTTCATTTTTTTTTCAATCATTATTTAGTATTCCTCCACATACCACTAGAAGGAAGCCTGTGTACCACTAGTGATACGCGTACCACATTTTGAGAACCACTGCTCTACAGAACTAGAAACATTTTTGCACAGGCCTATCTAAAGGGTTAAATCTGCCAACTGATGATCAAATATAAAAAAAATTCACATTTTACTTCCTCTCAACAGGGAAAACCAACAATAAATACTGTTAGAAACAAAGGTAATAACCCTGTCACTGGGATGGTACCTTTTTAAAAGGTACATTTTTGTTCTTAACAGGTCTTTAAAGGTACATATCAATACCTAAAAGTACAAATCTTTGTCTCAAAGTGCCTTAAAGCAGTGGTTTTCAAACTGTGGTACGTGTACCCCTAGTGGTACGCAGGCTTCCTTCTAGTGGTACGCGGAGGAATCACTGAATAATTAAAGTAAAAAAGGAACACTTTTTATCCCTGACACGTACGATAACGCTGATGTGATCAGTAAATTTATTTTAATAAGCTAAACCTTTCATTTTATTTTCAAATTTCAAATGTTTGTTATGTATTCCATCTTTTTAAGCTAATTTCCTCCACATATTTGTACGGTTGCTGAGGGCGTATCCCGTATTTTATATCCCAATGTTGACAAGTTTAGTTTAATCTCTTTTCTGACACAAATAGCCTACTCTAACGTGCAGTAATCATATATAATTTTTAAATTTAAATATGTAAATCCAATTCATACATCTAAAATACAAGCTAATGTTTAGATTTCAAAGACATACAAATAAGTCATATATACATGCATCATATATTTCAAAATTTATCAAAAAGAGTTTATTTATGAATATGATGACATAAAGCTTGTATTTATGAGGTCTAAGGAACATTTCCATGTTTTGTTGAATAGGCTACTTTTTGATAATACTTTACATTTAAGTACAGCAGTTTTCTTTGTACTTTTTAAGAACAGTGCAATTTTTTATTAACTTTTAGAAGCACATTTTAATTTAAATGTTGACGCTTTATTTATTTTTACCTGTAAGCACAGTACAGTGTTAATGTTCAAACCATTTATAATGTTTGAAGTGGTGACAATAATAAATATTCATTATAATAAGAAATATTCTGCCACATTTTTGAACTGTGCAGTGCTGTAGCTGCATGATTAGGCCTACTACGCTACGGGATTTCAATACTGGTCATTATGGTGGTAGTTGGAGAAACAATTTTTTCTGACGTGTTACTTAATGAAAAAAGTTTGAGGACCACTGCCTTAAAGTGAACAAAAGTGAACCATAAAATTAATAAAGTGTACCCTAAAGGTACTAATGTCCACCTGTATGGTACAAACATGTACTTTTTGAAAAAGTACTACCGCAGTGACAGTTTTTGTTCTGAGAGCGAAGAATGCATGATTATATGCTATCATGGCTTTGCAATCAAAAGATGTGGTTATAATGGAAGTCAATGGGGCAAAAACAGCCCCCAACATAATGAAGGGTAGTCAATTTGAACAATACACAGGGGTTAATTTTGTTCAGATGTATTAAAAAATGTAAAACAAAGATGAATGCTATTTGAGAACTTGGCACATACATTGGAAGTTAGAATTATTAGTCCCTTTGTTTATTTATTCCCCGATTTCTGTTTAACGGAGAGAAGATTTTTTCAACTCATTTCTAAACATAATAGTTTTAATAACTCATGTCTAATAACTGATTTATTTTATCTTTGCCATGATGACAGCACATAATATTTGACTAGATATTTTTCAAGACACTTCTATACAGCTTAAAGTGACATTTAAAGGCTTAACTAGGTTAGGTTAGGGTAATTAGGCAAGTTATTGTATAACAATGGTTTGTTCTATAAACTACCGAAAAAATGTAACTTAAAGGGGCTAATAATTTTGTCCTTAAAATGGTTTTTAAAATATTCAAAACTGCTTACATTCTAGTCGAAATATAACAAACAAGACTTTCTCCAATAGAAAAAAATATTATCGGAAATACTGTGAAAATTTCCTTGCTCTCTTGAACATCATTTGGGAAGTATTTAAAAAAGAAAAAAGAATTCAAAGGGGGCTAATAATTCAACTGTGTTTCCATCCTATTTTTTAAAAGATTTCCCATCATCTTCAACATACTTTTAGTTTGTTAACAAATAGTTTATTATATATAAAAAAAGAAAAAATTTAAGAAAAAATGAAGCTGAATTTCAAAAATCATTTCCTCTAAAAACGTTTCATGTAATCTTCATTCATTTCTGCGTCCTGTTGTTTAGACTCAACTCTTTCTGTTGCAGAATAGTAAAAGACTAAACGTTCTGAATTGTTTACCTGTCCATGTTATGATGATGTGTGGATACAGCAGAAGAGTTAACAGAGATGCTCGGACAGTGAACACTTCCATGTCTGTCGTTGAAAAGACTCGTCTTAAAGCTGTATAAAGAACAATTAGTTCCGTTGTGCTGGTAAAAAGTGGTCTGTTTCAACCCAAACTGTAGATCCGCTTTCACTTTTGTTTTTACTGCTGGGCTATCGTCTTACAGGACCAGCAGGATTTTTGTTGTTGTTGTAACTTGTTTCATTTTTAGCTTTTGGATAAAGCAAAGCATACGCGGAAGGTGCCTGAACAAAATGCTGGCTTTTCTCTTGATTGTTTCTTTTCATGAAGTCATCCTTGGCGCAGGTAGGACTGTCCTTAAAAATGAATGTAACTTTTTATTTACACAGTTTACGCGCTCTTTTTGCATTTGTTTATATGTTTAGATAAGGCTGTGCAATATGATAGGCTATAGGTATTGTTTCGAAAAAAAATAATAAAACGCCAATCATTTCAAATTGTTTATTTCGTGGTGTCGCAAAAAACATTTTTCGGTAATACATTCTCTCGATTTAACCTGGTATAAGCGCACTATTACACGCCAATACGGGGATGCAGACAGACATGAATAACAGTATCATGAGAGTTTATTTAGCGATATATATACTTGAAAGTGTTTTATCTTTTATTAATATTGGTTTTATATTTCAATTTTTTTTTTACTTATATTGTAAAAGAATTATATATATATATATATATATATTAAAATTAGATTAAAATTAA